TTATATTTGTTACTATTTATCAAGTGATTTTTTTTTGTTGTTGTTTTACTATATTCTTTTTTTCATTTTTCTGATCTCATGTGTTATTCATTTATTCTCGAATCCGATAATCCATTCATTTCGTTTTTACTTTTATTTTCTTGCATTTTCAATGATACTATTTTTCTTGAAACCGATTTATTAATATTTAATTTTATTTATTCTTTTTATTTGTTCGTTTTTTGTTTTATTTGTTTATTTTATTAAGGTGTCACTCCATTGACTAGTTTGTTACTATACAAGTGAGACCGAATATAGTTTTATAAAATTAAAAATGATATATATATATATATATATTCATAAATATATATATATATATATATATATATATATATATATATATATATATATATATATATATATATATATATATATATATACATACATATATATATATATATATATATATATATATATATATATATATATATATATATATATATATATATGTATATATATACATATATTTATATATATGCATATATATATATATATATATATATATATATATATATATATATATATATATTACGAAATGATTGAATTTAATATGAGCCATAAGGTATATAAAGAACCTTTTTGTATTCTAAGTTCAGTTATTCAATTTAAATAATTAATTATAAAATAGTTATATATTCATCTATAGATTTAAAACTTTATGATTATATTATTCAGCGTTCCATTTTTAGCCTCATCAAATGAAGGTGGTTTAATATTTACATGATCATAAAAACCGAACACTAAACGATTTGATGCTGAAATTTAAAATCTATAGATAAATACAGAACTAGTTTATAATTATAAAAAATGAATAGCTCGACTCATTGCTCTCATGATTGGGGTAGGAGGGAGGGCTAAGATTGTAAGGTTTTGGTATTCCCAGTCTCCTTTTACTGTAATTTTTTTGTGAAGAATCTATATTCGTCTTAAAGAACAGAACAGTGATAAATTAGTAAAAAAAAATTATAAGCATTATTAGTGTGTATGGTGTTATGTGGAAATGTTACTTTGATTTATATAAATACACTCCTTAAACAACATTCTAATTTTGTGTTGTTCTTTATAATAAAGATTTAATTTTTCTAAAGATGAGACCAAAATTTACTTTCCTAATCTTTTGAGTACGAATACTTTAATAAAAAAAGAGAAAATGTAAAAAAAAAAATATTTCGAAAATCTAATTTTTAATAAATTTGTCTTTTAATCAATATTTGTAGAGAATCCGTCTATAAATATCGAAGAATCCCAGCATCCGTTAGTTATTGGGGCAGAATGTGAATGCATTTTTAAAGTGATTTAATTTATTGATGCAATGAATGCAAACATGTTCAGTGGCGGATTATCCATTAGGCAAACTAGGCAGTTGCCTTAGGCCCGCTTAAAATAAAGGCCTGTAATTTCGGATTTTGTAAGGGCGAATTCAAGAAAAACAGATCCGAAATGCCTAACTCCTCAACTGGTTATGTTATTCTTTCTTATAACGATGACTCTTAAGTTTTTTGTTAGAATCGAAAAACATGTTATTTTGGCCTAATCAAGTTTACTGTAAAATAAAATGGATAACTGTAATAAAAAAAAGCTTGATTTATGCTGTTATAACACTTTCTTTTTGTTTTTTCTGACTAAAAAGGAAAGGAAACTATATTAGCTTTAGCTTTATTAAAAAATCGAAAAACTTTTAGAGGAGAATCGAAATGATCCTTTTGCGTCCAAATGTAAAAAGCTCAATTTCGAGCCCATTGTATTGTTATAAAAGTTTCTATTAAACAAAACGAATCAAAATATAATTAAAAACTTTCAACGCGCTCAAATAAAAAATGGATATGGATACGCTAACTAAAAATGAGATAAAAGTAGAAACTCTAGAAAATTTTTTGGAAATGTCAAAAGGAGAGCTGCAGTTTTATCTCAAACAGCGTGGTTTTACAATTTCCGGCAATCATAGCTCCTTAGCTGCTACAGCTTTAATGGCATGTGAGCTAAAAATTAAAGTGGTACCAAGTACTGAAAATGCTTGCAATAAATTAAATAGTGACTACGCAAATCTACTGAAATCGTTTAAAATAGATTTCGACCCGTTGAAAGCAAATGATTTTGTAGACGATATGCGACAATGGCCTGTTACAAATATTGGACAAATATTTGCTTTTATCATCGAAAGCAAAGCATTTGAAACTGAATACATTGGTCAGTACAAACTTAAAAAAGCATATTCATACTTTGGAAGTGGTTTTGTTGGCAAGTTGTTTAGCAAAAAAATGAACGATTATATTATGATACGTTCATCGGTCTCTCCTTCTCAACATATACGAGAAAAATCCCATCAACTTTGGATTTTGTTTAATGTGGATGGCAGCATTTGCACCGCGTTTTGCACGTGTACCGCAGGACAAAGTAATTGTTGTAATCACGTTGCTGCGGTACTTTATAAAATAGAATATGCGAACACTAAAGACATAACGAACCCTATTTGTACTGATAATATTTGCAGCTGGAACGCTCCGTCCAAAGAAATTCAACCAAGTATGGTGAAAGATATGAACTTTGTTAAACATAAAAGTGGTAAATTGCAGAAAAATCTTTTGATTTACAAAGAAAAAAATGATTTTGATCCTAGACCAGTAGAAATGCGCGAAATTACGGAAGTTGAAAAAAAACAATTTTTATTAAATATCAAGGAAGTTCTTCCTAACGCCGCTCTAAATATAATGTTTACCCCTCCGCCAGATAATGATGTGCCACTTCCGATAACAGAAATTGCTTCAGCAGCACGTAGTTGTTTCCCAACGGAGCTAAGCTGTGTGACTGATAGATTTCTTGGTATGCTGACATTTAACGACAATCAACTTCAAGAATTAGAAAAAGCTACAAGAAATCAATCACACTCAAACCAATGGTGGGAACAACGCAGAGGAAGAATAACATCATCATGTTTCTATTCCATTCACCAAAAGGTTACATCTCTTCTGAGAAGCCATGATAAAGACGTTAAATGCAAAGTTGCGCCACTTCTTAAGGCTATTGTCGACCCTGTTGAATTAAAGAATGTTGCACCTCTAAATTGGGGTAAAGAAAACGAAAAAAATGCTGCTAAAATATTTATGTCAACTGAGGGCGTAAGACATCAAAATCCTAAGCTAATAACCTGTGGTTTATTTGTGCACAAACCGCACCCGTATCTTGGTGCTTCTCCGGACAACATATTTCAATGTCGTTGTTGCCTAAAATCTTGTGTAGAATACAAATGTCCTTTTAGTATTCGGGACGAAGATATAAGCGTTTCATGGAAAAAAACGGATTTTTTGGAAATGGTTGACGGGAAAGTAGTGCTTAAAAGAAATCACAAATATTACACCCAAATAATCGGCCAAATGGCAATCACTGGTTATAAATCCACGTACTTCGTAGTCTATACAAAAAAAGATGTTTTAGTAAATAAAATCACGTTCGATGAAGAACATTGGCAGAAAGTGCTTCCAAGCTTAATTCTGTTTTTTAAAACGTATGTGCAACGTTACCTACTTGGATTTATGCAACTGTATACATGCCCATTGTGCGATAAGCCATGCTTAAATGAAAATGAATTTAAAAATAAAGAAGATAACAGCATTGATTGTGACATTTGTGGTCTTTGGTTTCATTGGGATTGTTGTGGACTAGTTCAAAGAACTGTTTTAAAAGATAGATTTATTTGCATTTTTTGCCAATAACTGATAAATCACAACATTGATTTATAGACATTACAGATATTAAATGTATTAAATTAAGCATTAATTTCAGAAAATAATCTTTTTACTAATCATTTGTTTTAATTCATAAAAGTATTAAAGCGAAAAACTATTGACTCAAAAGATATTAAAAGGTTTATAATGACGTGTATTTACTGCTAAATTATTTAAATTTATTATAAAAAACAAGAAAAAATGAGGTCTATATTTAGTTTTAGTAGTGTATTTATATAAGAAATAAAAATTCAGAAACAATATAAAAAAAAGCAATATAGTAATGTACAAAAAAAAAATTGTATCTTTATATATATATATATATATATATATATATATATATATATATATATATATATATATATATATATATATAAATATATATTTAAACAATTTAAAATGTATTCTACAAAAAGAGTGCTCAATGTTCTTAAAAGAACAGAGCAATTACAAATTAGTAGAAAATCATTATGCTAAGGGATTTTCTACTAATTTATATATACATATATACATATATACATATATACATATATATATATATATATATATATATATATATATATACATATATACATATATATATATATATATATATACATATATATATATATATATATATATATATATATATATATATATATATATATATATATATATATATATATATATACATATATACATATATACATATATACATATATATATATATATATATATATATATATATATACATATATATATATATATATATATATATATATATATATATATATATATATATATATATGTGTGTGTATATATATATATATACATATATATATATATATATATACATATACATATATATATATATATATATATATATATATATATATATATATATATATATATATATATATATATATATATGTATATATGTATATATGTATATATATATATATATATATATATATATATATATATATATATATATATATATATATATATATATATATATATATATGTATCTATGTATATATATATATTAAAACACACGCACACACACTAAATGTATATATATATAAATGACTTTTATCAATTTAACTAGAGATTCTGATGTTCAGTTTATACAGGCCTAGCTAATTCAAATGCATATATATATATATATATATATATATATATATATATATATATATATATATATATATATATATATATATATATATATATATATATATATATGTATATATAAAGTAAATCTTATGCTTTGTTTTCATCAATGCAAAGGGGGGGCATGAAGTTTGTTAATACAGCGCATACAGTAATAATATTGTCACATAATGGTAACAGTGTGACTGGCAATTCATTTTTTAATATGCGAAAGTTTTTCATACGCCCTATGGCTTGTTCCACATAAATTCGAACATTTGCAATTTTTGAGGTTTCTCGCACATCATTAGATGTCATTTGCAAATTTGTGCGTTTTGATGGAGGAATAGCTAAATTGCACTGGTAAAAAGCTAGTAGTTCTTTTATTTTAAAACCTCTATCTGCTATAACTTGATCTCCAGGTTGTAAGAATTTTAAAATTCCACAATCTTTAACAATAAAAACATCGCTAGCTCTTCCGCCATAACAATTTGATAAAAAAGAAATTGCACCATTTGGTGTTATTCCAACCAAATATTTAACAGTATAATGATGTTTATAATTTGACCAACAACTTGCAGCAGTATCCAAACTTGATGGTGTTTCGATAAAAAGCTCACTACAATCAATTATTATTGAGCATTTTGGGTAGTATTTCCTGAACATTGTTGGTAAATTTCTCTTTATATTATTTCTGTCAGGAAAATGTATTAGCCATTTTAATTCAAGAGAAAGAAGTTTTATCCAAGTTATAAATACTGAACTCACTACAGAAATAGATATCATGAAACGATGAGCAAGATCTTCAGTTAAAAGACCTAAACGTAAACGCATCATCACAAGAAGAAACTCCTGTTGCAATGTTAGAGATTTTAATGTTATTGTTTTTAAATTCCTTGGCGAAGATAAGTTTTTATTTGTATTTTTACTACCTTTCCAATAGTGCATTACATTTCCTTTCCTTTGTAAGTAAGAAAACAACATTTCAAAGGCATTTGAATTTGCAAGGCCTGTAAAAAACTGAACATCAGAATCTCTGGTTAAATCGGCAAAAATTATTGATCGTCGTATTGGTTCATTACACTGAATAGATTTATCACAGTGTTTATTTTCTAAAGTTAAACTTGTTGATGAACTGTTTGCTTCTGATTCTAATATGACATCAAATCGTTCAAGTTTTCTTCGTTTTGTAGAAGATTCTTTTTCTGCATTACGAATATTCATGTATAAAGTTGGATTAGGAAAAGCAAAAGTAGGCTTTCCAAACTCAAAATGATTAGAGCAAACCACTTTATTATCAGAAACTGTAAAATTTATTAAACCTTTTTTAACTTGATTTACCCAATGCTGCCTTTTTAAAGAATCTTTAGGAAAGTAGTGAAATTTTAGCTCTGTTACTTGAGTTCTTTTAAATAACCTATCTGGATACCTGGAGTCGTTATTACAACCAGCAACACAGCAGCGGTAGTTTGGCATTTTAAATTTATATAATATAAATTTATAATGTATATATTTAATATATATTTAAATTTATATAAGTATAAAACACCAAATTAAAAATTTGAGTACTAGCAAATAAAAAATAAGTAGAAAATCTTCAGCTTTCCTTCACTAAATCAAACTACTTTGTTGTTTGTTTGCCCTGATTACCCAAGATGCATTTCGCAACCGCGAAAAGGTCTATTGTGTGGCAAAGTTTACGAAATTGTTTTAAAACACTACTTTTCTACTAACTTATTACAATGCGATATTAAGTTAAAACAATATCATTTAACAAAGAACAATCGTGTTTTTGGAATGGAAGCAGTTTTATAAAGATATCAGTTTTTTTTTAAACTGTTTATCAAACAGCATTCTTTTAAATTGATTTATTCCTTTTTAAATTTATCGCATGCTTTTTTATATTATTAGTGTATTGTGTACGTAAGCCAAAGTTGCTTTAATTTTAAAAGTAAATGATTCAAAAAAATAAACGCTTAATCTTGTTATAAGGTATCAATTGAAATAAGTTAATGTGTAACAATGGATAGCGTTCATATCCATTTAATCCACTAATTGATTCATTTTGCTTAAGTTTAAGTGACAAAAATGCAATCATAAATTTATTCGAGTAAGAAAAAAATTTTAAATTTGGAAGAAATTTTATCAGAGCAGTTAAAAGCTGAGATGTTTTTTAACTGGAAACTATTGTTTAATTGTTTAATTCAATTGTATAATACCTATCAGGTATGCTATGTTGTATTAATTTTCTTGTAAATTATTTTACAGCTAAAGGTATAGAGCAAATAAACTTGAATATTTTTCTTGCAATTTCTGTCCACATTATTTCTGCTATCTTTCTAACTCGACTGCTTCTGACTTTTATTCTTATTTTCTTCGTTCTTTCTAAACTTACTTATTCCTGGCCTGTCGAAGCGGTTTATGATTCTCTTCAGAGAGCTGAACTTTTCTTTGCAGACCTAGGTATGGGCTTCTATTAGGAAATTAGCTGAAGGAGGATAAACCACGACACAACAGTACGTTTGGGTTTGATTTAAATTGCAGATAAAGTCTGAATAGAAAGATATATTTGGAGATATTTTCCTATTCCTAACAACTATGATATAGTATTATTTGAATTATTTTATTGATTAATTTTAAGACTTCGTTATTATAATTTGCGTTTAATCTGATTTTTACTCTAGTAAACAAGTCCATACAAGCGACATAAGTCAGTCCATACAGTCCGAGAAACAAGCGACATAAGGAAGGCCTGTTGTTATTCAATATATACATTTGATGCTACCTTTAAAAAAAAAAAAATTATTACTTTCAGAACTTTAAACGTAATGATTATATTTAACTAATGCTATATTTACATTAACTTCATTACTATTTTTACTACATCCATTTATGCCATATCCACAGACAACACAGCGTTAAAAGGTACAAAGTGAAATGACAGCACAGCGTTCAAAGGTACAAAGTGAAGTGACAACACAACGTTAAAAGGTACAAAGTCAATTTTTAAAGTTACAAAGTAACTAAAGTGAAGTCTTAAAGTTAAGAACTACTCTGATTCAATTTTTGATAAGAACTATTGCCAGACTCATTATCGGATTTTTCTAATTTCAGATCATATCAAAAAACATAAAAGCTTACAAAAGAAGTACGGCACCCAACAAAAATTTTTTGGAACCCGCAAATTTTGAATTCCACAATGAATTTCTCTTCATGCAGTAACATAGGTTTGTCTAAGATTGATTTTAAAGTCTAGGAACTTAGTTTAAGCAACATTGAAAATGAAGTAGAAAAGAGTAGCAATGAAAGTTTGTCTAAAAGTTCTGAAACAATTGAAAATGAATCATAAGAAATTGTGAGAAGAGTTGATGAGAGGAGAGTTGATGAGAGGAAGTTGTGAGTTATTGAGAGGATGATGAGAGTTGTGAATACCTTCATAATAACAATAGTGAAATAAAAGGATTGCCTAAATTGCTTTGTTATTCTGACCGAGCTCATGCTAACATTTTGAACAAAAGGAAATATATATTAATATAAAAATCTTACTACAAAAATTCTATATTTTTCACGTGACCCTGGCCAGAAGGATACCCTCATTTAAAGTACAGAATATTCAAATATAAAGCATTCTGCTACATATGCTTTCTTTTTTTAAATAGGCCCAGCTGAAAGTTATTTATCTATTAACTTTAAAATTATTTTTTTATTGAAAAGGTAAAATATTCTTTTAACAAATATATTTATCTACTTTTTTTAAAACGTAGCTGGTAATAATAATAAAGAATGTAAATAATGGTTTTAAAAATTTTCTAGGTAGAAATCACTCTTTTTCAAATGGAATTTAGAATTATTTTGTCGGTAAAATTTAAAGATTTATTTTCAAATTTTGCAGCACACTAGTACCAAGCAAAAAAATTATTTAAAGAACAAATCATATTATTGAATAATAAACTTCATTTTATTGCAGTACTGGATTCCCAATCAACTTAATTTTAAAACGTAGTTTTAAATGTGTTTTGAATTGTTTTAAAAAGTTTTCATTATTCTGTCGCCTAAAAATGAATAATATTTCTAAGAATAATATTATTGGTAGCCAACAAAAAATGATCATACAAGTTGGTTTAAATTATATCTGTGAATCAATATATATCAAATGGTCATTAAAAATATTAATTTTGATTAAGAATCATATCAATCATGTCCAGTATTTGATGGTAAGGAAGGAGACGTAATGAATGAATTTTAAAATAGCAAATGCAATTCCTGAAGGAAGCCTCTTCAACAACTAGGTAAGTTAGAGAGTCGCTGCAAGATTTTCTAATTGGGTTTAAGACAAAGCTCTGGCATCTTTTGCATTTGTATCATCAGTTAAATACAGTAGATATTTAAGTATCTACTAATATGACTCATATTTAAAAAAGTACTTCTTTAAAAATGAGTTAAATTTTAAATTTAGATAAAACAAGTTTCTGGGTCAAGCAAATCTTTTAAACTTTTTTTACATTTTACGTTTTTTCTTCTTCTTTTTAAAATAGTTATTAGATTTCAAAAAAGTTACTGGTTATTGATAATTATATACAATTATCAATTAGTAAAATGTTTATATAATGTTAAAAGTTGTTAGTATGTTGAAATGCCTAATAATACCAAACCTTTTTGAAAGTTTGTTTTTTATTTAAATGTTTTTATTTTAAAACAGTTTTTAAATTAACTTTTTTTTTTTTACTCATAATTTCGTATAAAGTTATTCTAATGCGCCATAAAACAAGATTTATACACACACATTAACACACACGCGCGCGCACATACACATACATATACAAACACACAAAATAAAGAAATATTTAAATAATTATTTGATTGGTAATAAACCACGATAATGACATTATATAATATATTATAGAATTAAAACAGGTTTTACAATTTTTACAAAAAACTTATTAAATTCAAATATTATTATTTTTATTATAACGATATTTATGATAATAAAGTTTATATTATTTGTAGATTAATACCATAAGAACAAAAGATTCTCTAATCTGCAAAAATGATCAAAACTCTTCCGTTTCAAGATATCAATTTAGTACTCTTCAGAAAAAGGAAGCTTTGTTCTTTACCTCTAATACAGCTGGTGGAAGTGGAAGTGAATATAGTGGTGGTGGAAGTAACCCACTTGATTATAATTGGCCCGCTGAATGGGACCAGGAGTTTGTAGTACGCATTATTAACATTCGTTTAACTTATTACTATGCAAAGTTATTTTCTAATTTAATCTTATTGCGCTTAGAAAAATTCATTTAATGTTTCAGCTGCTATGACATATGGAGAATTTAATGAAATTTATAGCATAGTTAAGTATCTTGATGGTGGTACTTACGGTCGCATCTACATCGCAGTTAAAAAGTCTGATGCATCTAATGTAAGTCATATGCATTTACAAAAAAAAATATTTTTTGAGATACGTTCAAATATTAAGATGGTATACTCCCTTAAAAATTGTTTTACAAGTGAAACCATGTAACCAGAATTGAAATGTACCATGGGAATGATCATACTAAACAAAATTAAAATTGACCATGGGAATGGGAATGGGAATGGGAATGATCATACTAAACAAAATTGAAATGTACCATGGGAATGATCATACTAACCAAAATTGGAATGATCATACTAACCAAAATTGAAATGTACCATGGGAATGATCATACTAAACAAAATTGAAATGTACCATGGGAATGATCATACTAAACAAAATTGAAATGTACCATGGGAATGATCATACTAAACAAAATAGAATATCAATATTTTTTATTTAGCTTTTTTTTATTGGTAAACTGTAATACCTCAAAGTCTACAGTATTTTACAATTTTTTTTTTAGCAGATTGTATAAATTATATAATTATATAATTGTATAAATAATTAATTTATATTGGTTAATTTGTTAAAAAACTGATGACTAGAAAAAAAACTGTGACGTGAAATTTAAAATAAAAATGAGCGACAAACAGCTTTAAAAATTAAACAAGATAAAACACTACCAATAAAATAATGAAAATACAAATGTTCTGAATAATAGAAAATAAAAACAAATTGATAAAAAACTTAGACAACTTCTAAACAGATGTTTTCTAGTTTAAAAAAATTATATATTTGAGGAGCATTTTAGGACCAAGTAACAAATTTCAATCGTTGCTATTTTTAGGGATACGAAAAATACAATAACTTTTTTTTTTTTTTTTTTTTTTTTTTAAACATGTTTATTTCATAACTACAAAGTATTAAAAATTGACCAATCATCGATTGGCGAACAAAGGTATACAAATATAAATATCGTAAACATAAAGTCCAAAATAAATAAGGGATAAATCTAAAATATTGTTACATTCAACTTTGAGACTTGATAAAAATAAATACAAAGTACACAATAGAATAACGTGAACGTAAAAATTATGCAAGAAATAAACCTTCTATATTCTTTCAATCAGAATAATATATATATATATATATATATATATATATATATATATATATATATATATATATATATATATATATATATATATATATATATATATATATATATATATATATATATATATATATATATATAAAAGTATGATAAAAACAAGATTTGTATAAGATTAAAGAAAATAATCAATTGTTTGTAATTATAGGAAGCTCGCAGAAGACTGGGGTCAGTCTTGTCATCGAGTACCTTATAGACGTGTAATACACATAAAAATCAGTTGCATACGTGGCAAATATGTATGTGATACATATATGCCTAAAAATTATTAATGTTACTATCTACTTTTAGTATTATTTTTGTTGATTCCTTTGAAAAGTTACATTTTTTGTTTTATTAGGGTTGTTTTATATTATTTTAAATTTTTCAATTTTAAATTGGAGTTTAAAAAAACTCCTTGTAGTTGTTTAACTTGATTATTGTAGATTTTAACTTTGTTTTTAGGGACTGTTCGTTGTTTAAATTTATTAGCGATTCGTTTCTAGAAATTATTTTGTTAAATAAATAGGGACCACGATTTTTTATTGAAAACTTTGAGAGTTTAGTTTTTTCAAAGGGTATTTTAAAGTTTCCCGTTGCTCTTGTATTGTATTTGCTTACGTTGTTTTCAAAAAAGTGGGCTGTAAAATGTTCTGGAACCAGACTTAGTTTATATTTAAACATGAAAAGTATATTTTGATAAATATTAATTTGAAAAATATTTAAAGCGTTCATTTGCTCCAGTAGGGGTTGAGCATGATTAAGTTTGTTTTTGTTGAACACTAGTCTTGAAGCGTGCTTTTGACGCAGATAAAGCGGTTTTAATTTAGTTATGTGGGTACTGCCCCATACTTAAGTAAAACTTGATTTTCTAAAATATATAATAAATTAAAAAACATGGTTTTTGAATTTTTATTGCCTGACAAATTTTGAATAAATGTAGATAACAGGTGGTAATTGTAATGATTGGAGCCTGGGAACAAAAAGCCCTAAAATTTTGGCCGCAACTGCCCCAAACGTATTATTCTTTAATAAATTTATATTATCGATAAGTTTTAAATTTCATGCAATAATCTCTTAGCGCTTTAACATCTCAAACATCAAAAAATGTTTGATCCGCCCCTTTGTATATATATATATGTATATATATATATATATATATATATATATATATATATATATATATATATATATATATATATATATATATATATATATATATATATATATATATATATATATATATATATATATATATATATATATATATATATATATATATATATATATATATATATATATATATATATATATATATATATATATATGGTATTGAAAGTTTGGTCCAACTAGCTGTTCTCGTTTTAAACCGAATGCTAGTTTTTATTACTATTAACCTATCTTTATAATATAAATTAGCAATATAGTTTGTTTGTTTATTTATGCCTGAGATATGAATGTTCAAACTTAAATGACCAAACTTAATGTCGGTTTTAATGAATATATATGCAAGGGTTGTCTGAAATGTTTCTGGCTTAACAAAAAAAAGTTGTTTTTTTATTATTCAACATAGCCTCCTAATAACACTACACATTTTCTCTAGCTGAGGAAGTGAGTGGTGCTCCCATCTCTATAACCCGTTCAAATAGTACTCGACGTTTTTCTCTGCTAAATAACTGTTCACAAAGATAACTTCATCTGACAAAGATGAAGTTATCTTTGTGATTGTCAAATAGAATTATTTTTTCAAAATCTAGAAAAGGAATTAAATGGAGTAACACCAGATAACATTTATAATATGGATGAAACAGGGTTTCATGATGACCCTGGAAAAAAAAACTTATTTTTCGTCGATCCTCTTGCCATCCAGAACTTATAAGAAACACTACAAAATCTTGTTACACTGTTATTATTTGTGGAAATGCCTCAGGAAAGCTAATTCCACCATTCTTCATTTTTAAAGGAAAATACAGTTGGTCTGACTGGCTTTTTAATGCACTAGAAGGATCAAGAATGGGAACTTTTTGCAGTGGCTGGATGGAAATTCAAAAATTTGAAGAGTGGCTTTGAATCCCTTTGTTCCAAATATTATAAATAAGGAAGGTAAAAAAATTCTGATTTGTGATAATTTAAGTGATTATATATCTTTAAAAGACTTAAATTTATGTGAAAAGCATAATATAACATTTATATGTTTGGTACCCAATTCCACACACCTTTTACAACCTCTAGATGTTGTGTATTTCTCGAGTTTAAAAGCTAATTGGAGGTCAGTTCTTAACCAATGGCGTAAAACATCCCGTGGGAAAAAAGCTAATAACCTACCAAAAGATTTGTTTTCACAGCTCATTAAATCTACTAATTAATGTTGGTAAAGAAAATCTAGAACATAATCTACAAGCAGGATTTAAGGCTACTGGCATATATCCATTCGACCCTAAAAATGTTCTCTCGAAATTACCCAGTTTTACAAATAAAAATATTCCTCTTAACATTGGAAAATCGTTTAGGAAATATGTTGATGAAATTCATACATCTAATCTTAATTATGAAGCAAGCAAAAAATTCAAGTTACCAATAACAGCAGGGAAAAGTGTAGCAGCCACTTAGGTAGAAGCATACTATAAGTCAAGAGACAATAAGAAAAAAAATCAAGATAATATTCAAACAAAGAAAAGAGAAAGACCACTCGGATCAAAAAATATAATTATGAAAATAGACAAAAAAAATGTTTCACAAAGTTCAAGCATTGTAGATGTTAATCAAGTTATTAAAGACAATGAGCAAGTTGTATCTCAAAATGATGCAGTTTCTTTATTAGAGCAAATAAACACAATATACTTGTTTTCCATGATCATGATTTTCGATTAAAGAGTTAGTTGTGACTCAAGACTAAAATAATGGACTTAAACACTGTAATATTTAGTTATATAGTCACAGGTGTTTATTTGTGTGGAATTATATAGAAATGATGTCTTAATTATTTTTTCTTTCATAACCTTAAAAATTGATCAACAAGTTCATTTAGTGATTTGTAATATTTTATTGAAAAATGTGTTTGTTTATTCTCAATATGGATTAATTAGATTTTTTTTTTAATTAATTTGAGCTATTACAACAAAATTTAAACAACTTTTTAGATTCATCTGATTAAAATTGAAATTTAATTTAATAGTGTTCAAAGTTACCCTAAATGCAAGTGTAACTTTGAATCCCTACTTGAAGTTTGTTTTTTAACAAAATAACTAGCAAATTTAAAAAAATGGTAACAAACTAGAAAAAAGAGATCATCAGAACACCTTTTATGTAAAAATATTTGTTAACTAGTTTGTAAAAAAATTTTATTGAGATAAACCTAGCGCAAAGCGTTCAAAGTTACCCGGAATGACTGTAAATACTAGATTGTATATTATTACACAAACGTCCGAAAACTGTTTTTAAATCGAACAGGGAGGGGCGGGTTTTGCTTTTGACAAAACTATGCATGAATCAATTTAAAATATCTCCTTAAAAAGCAGAAAGTTTTAGCAAATACTGTAGGGTTTACTTGGCTATAGTTTAGTGTGTTTTTTTCACTAAAAGTGAACGTGGAACAACGTGGAGCTTTTTTTTGGCTGGCACATGTTTAAACTTGTGTACTAAAATTTTAATTAAAAAAAAAAAATTAAAAAGAACTTGTTTTTTTAATCTTAAAAAAAAACAGTAAATAAATTTTTCTTACACTCATTACTTTAAAAAAAATAATAATAAAGTTTTGGAGTCTATAATAAAGTCATGGAGGTGGAAAATAAGATTGCTTACAAGATAACCATACCTTAAATTTTCATAATTTTATGGTGATAAATTTAACATTTTACACATATATCCATTTAAAATTACACAATAATAATATCTGTAAAATTATTTAAAGTTGATTGCAGACCAAAAAGTAGTTTACTTTAACATTTTAAGTCTAAAAAAGATAAAACTTTCACTTTTTTCACCGGACTTTTTGCCATTTTTAGGTTAATCTGGGTCACTGTGCGCCTGTACCAAAATATAAAGAGTAGCTTCAGGAATTCTCTAAGTCTTTAAGTTTTACTTTTTTTTTTTTAACTAGCATTAAGGTTTTTATATTCAGTTTATGAATATCACATAATTTTTTTATATCATCTAAAAAAGAAGATTTAACTGAACAGTAGTTAAGTTGGGAATTAATAATTTCAAAGGTTATTTTATTGTTTAAAAAGCGGATAAATAGATTTATTTTGTTTTGGTATATATAATTTGACATCTCCTTAATTTTAAATAGAGAGTGTATATAGTTTTTACTATACTTGGAGACATTAAATATCGATTTAACTGCGTTCCTTCCAAGTGTGTCGAGTCTTTTTAATGTTGATTCTTTATTTTCGCAGAGCTCTAGACCGTGGGTTAGCGTCGGAACTGCTAATAATTTATATAATTGGATAATAGACCTTGGATGTACAATTTCAAAACTCTAATTCTTTAAAATTTAAATTTAGCAAGAGTTTGTTGTCAAGTTTCTCAAAAAATCAGCAATAAATTATGATAGCGCATTAAAAGAAGGTTTGATTCTGTTGACATTAGATCATCCAAATATCGTAAAGGTACATTTTGTTATCATTTTACGTTCACTATATAGTTTTATTATTACTAAACTGCTAAACATTTTAATATTTATAGTGTCTGGACTTATTTGATAACAATGAATATGTCCAAATGGTCATGAAGAGTAGTGGTACACGAACAATGGGATTTCATATATACCTTAACAACTTGCCGTTTTTTTCTGAAAATGTAGCAAGATTTTTTATGAAACAGGTACTCTATTAAAGTGTTTTAATGGAAACTCGGGAAATTCCTACAATTCCAAAAAACAAAAAAAACAAACAAGGGATTAATTAGAAACCATTTTAGTATTCATTTTCTAAATATCAATTTTTTACTGTGGCTTTACTTTTATTTAACATGGCATTTACAGAGAATATAGAGCCCATGATAAGAAAGAATTTTCAAAAAGGGTTTTGATTATTACTAAGCAATTTATTTTATAAATTAAAAAACTTAGTTTTAGGCTTTAGATAATAAGGATATTGAAACATGGGTATAAAAATTTGCTTTATCACTTACCTAAAAAGTATAAAATATTTAAAATTTATCTATTCAAAGTTACGCTGCCAAAATTACGTCTCTGTAAATGTGTTTGAGATAAACCTCTAATATATTCTCTTCCCCCTAATATATTTCCTTTTCTTTAATATGTATTCCCTTCTAATATATTCCCTTTTTTTAAATATATATTTTTTTATCAATGTAAACACTTCTCTTAAATATATTCGCTTTTCTTTAATATACTTCTTTCTCTTTAACATATTCCCGTTTTTTTTAAATACTCCTTTTTTGACTCTTATAACTCAAAAAAATTTTTTAAGATTAGTCTGGCTGTCAAATATCTCCACGATATTAATCGAGCACATTTAGATATAAAAGATACAAACGTTGTTATAAATGATCAACTTGAGTTGCAACTTATAGATTTTGGTTTTTCAGAAGATTTGAATTCTGTTAAAGAGCCAATAAATGGAATGGTTGGAACAGATCATTTTATAGCGCCAGAAGTTTATTTACGGTAAGTTTATTTTTTTGGAAATTGAGTTTTTCAAATTATTTCTTCCTAGGGTTTAACTTCTTTTTACTTTCTTTTTATAATTGTACTGGCATATAAATGTATATTTTGTTTAAGATTTTTTATCTCTTTTATAGTAATTGTTATTAGGGCGGGTCACTTAACTGTAAATTATAATTTGTTTTTATTGCTATTATTTCTTGAAGATTTTGTGTTTGAAATATTGAAAACAAATATTCCAACAACAACTAACAACTTTGACAACATGTCGGCATTTAATAATCTTCAGACACAAAACAGATTTTATTTGAATGTTTAAACTGATTTGAAAAGCTCACCTTTATTAGGTCTAACATTTCCATTAGGGCCGGTATAGTTCAGTTGGTTAGAGTGCAACTAAAGTTTGGAATTGTTAATGGCTGTAGCAACAGGATTGCAGGTTCGAATCCCGGCTCTAACTACTCAGAGTATGAGTA